CCTCAATATATGTTCCATTCTATATGCATCCGAAGAAGTGGGCTGTAGTCCTCCTGTTCTTCTTTTTGCGGATACAGACTAACACGGCTGTTACTCTGATACCCATCATGATTACATATAGACATCACTTCAAATTAATCATAAACCTTACTCTACGTAAATTATCTCTGTAACTTTTTACATAAATGTTAGAAGTGGGCAACACTTCCCTTGCTGATACTTCCTGAAGTTAACGAAACACAAAGAAGCAGGTTGGTTATAAAATTATTTACCTCCCAGGAGAGAAGAGTACCTAGATACTGGGGACAAGGAAAATATTCCCAAACAATTCGGTTCTATTGAAAGCTACTTCTTTTTGTCCCAAAAGTAGTTTTAATTTTCAATCCACCCATTAAGTAGCTTAATTGCATAAATAATTGCTTTTCCCCCACTCTATTGTGATGTACCCAGTTTCCATTGATATGCACTTGAAACATTACATAGTAGATGGGAATCTTCTGCTTTGTGCTTTTATTAGTGTTCATTCTTGTGCCAAGTAAATCATTGTAGGATTTAATTGAAAGCTTTTAAATGGATATTGACAAGTGTCCAAAAATTTAAAAAAAGTTCTTTGCTTCAAAATTATGCTATATGTCACTATCTACCTATCCATCTGTTTATTGAGGTGGTCAGTAGTGACACCATAATTAAAGGTGTGTTGAGATTTCCACTTCAAAAAAGATTAAAATCCCTCTGTTTTATATTTTATCGACTGAATTTAAGCTCCAAATTTGGCACAATAATTCTTCAGTTTAAAACTGATTTTTCCATTTGTTAATTAAAATATTTATGAACATTTGCAAAAGAAACATTTAATGTCTCCCCTTTTGAAGTTTTGCCCTCTTTTCCTTTTCTGGGGTACCCCTACCTAAATAATCACAGGCCTCACAAACTCCAAGCTTCACACACAGAGATACTCCCATTCTTCTTATAACATTTTGGGTACAGGCCACTTTTGAAATCATAAGATTAAACATTTCCCTTATTTGACATAACTGATCTGATCCGACTACGTCAAGAGTAGCCAGTGAAACCATTAAGTTCTTTCAGTTATTTTGGTTTATTTCCTGGTGCTGACACTCTGAATCATTAATGCCACTCCCCTTGGAGACCAAAATGGAGCCAGCTAGGATGATAGGAACAGTGGGGTTTGAGGAGGCAGCTTGGGGAAATGAGACTACTGTGTGGTGATGGTTTTTGTGGGTGACCATGTCTTTGCAGATGGCTAGAGGGAGTCCAGTGTTTCTGTGCTGAGGTATCAGGGCCAGATTTTAAAAGGTTTTGAGGCACCTAATTATGCAAATAGGTGGCTAGTGTGAGTTACAGAAGTGCCTAAGCAGGGTAAGCACTTAATTCACATTGCAAGTTAATTGGAATTAGGCATGTAAATACCTTTGTAAATCTGCCCATGAGTGCTTGAAGGACTCTTCCTCCACACTGCTGCTTCAATTGCCTGACACACCAAGTCAGCAGGGCCATGGGGAACCCTTCAGTTATCAAGGCCTTGGCACAGAGCCACCCCAGTGTTGCCACCTCAGCTCCTGGGCACAGCAGGCAACAGTTTCATGGAGACCTGAGAGAGTTATTGGAACATCAAGGGCTTCCCATATTGCCATTGCCTAGCATGTCAGGGAACTGAGGTTGAAGAAACAGAGGACCCCTTCAAGTGCCAATGCCTCAGGAAAGACAATTGGTGGCCTCTGCCCACATCCAATTCCCCACCACAGGTCACTGCCCTACATGTATTGCTACCCTCCCCAACAACACCACCACATTGCAATTCACTCCCAGCCTCCAACTCACCCCTGTTAACTTCTCCTTTGTTCTCCCAAGACAACAAGTGGCAGACCCACTGGGGGCTGGGGTGGTGGTGGAGGTGCGACCATGGGCTCGAGCTGGAAAGATTAGCAATGAGAGTAGTGGAGCAGAGAGGAGCATTACTCTGACAAACCATGGGCAAATAGTCAGAATGCAGCTCTTTTCTACTCTGCATTTCCTTATCCTGGTGTCCTTAGAGAAAGCCCCATTTCTAACCCATTGCCCCACCCACACAACCCCACTGTACCCCAAAGTCCCTTCACATATCCCCACTACAATACTGCTCACCACAAATTATCTCATGCCCTCCACACAGTCCTGCTGCCCCAGAGTTAACCACAGCTTCCCCCCACATATTGGCTCTTTGCTCCTAACCTCACACTATCTTTTCCCTCCACATCTTCCCATGGCCGTACACCACAGTATTTAAAAGCTATAGGTGATGAGGGAATAATAGGGAGTGGGGAACAGGGAAGTGGGTAGAAAGGTGGTTGAAGAGTAGGGCTAGGGGGAAAGGTGATGGGATCATAACTGTGTAGGGCATGAGGGCAATTCACAGCAAGCACTGGAGACCAAGGCTAGGTCTACACTACCCACCTGAATCGGCGGGTAGAAATCGATCTCTCGGGGATCGAATTATCGCGTCTCGTCGGGACGCGACAATCGATCCCCGAATCGACGCTCTTACTCCACCAGCGGAGGTGGGAGTAAGCGCCGTCGACGGGGAGCCGCGGAGGTCGATTTTGCTGCCATCCTTACAGCGGGGTAAGTCGGCTCCGATAGGTCGAATTCAGCTACGCTATTTGTGTAGCTGAATTTGCGTATCTTAAATCGACCCCGCCCCCACATAGTGAAGACCTGCCCCAACGTCAGAGAACAGGGAATTAGGTTCCTAAATGCCTTTGAGGACCTGGGCCATAGTCCCTGAGATAATATGGTTTCCTCCACAGACTATCAGAGGTCTTCACTAATCCTATCCCTCTGCCTCCCATTTCCAGCTTGGCAACCAGTCCTTCTCTTTTCAGAGTAGCAGCCGTGTTAGTCTGTATACGCAGAAAGAACAGGAGTACTTGTGGCACCTTTGTTAGTCTCTAAGGTGCCACAAGTACTCCAGTCCTTCTCTTGAGTCTCTTTTAACCCTACAGGGTTGGACTCAGGAATATTCTGCCTCTGTGATTTGCCCCAAACTTGGCATCTCATTCTGGATGTCTTCCCATCCTTCCTTACTATATCTTTTGGCTGGTAGATGCCTGCAGCTTCATCTTAGCACTTGTCTAGCATTTCTGAGCCCCCGGTGAAACATCAAACTTGTTTCCATCTGAAACCTGACCCTCTTTCTTCAGTTCCACTCCATTCCATCATACTACAGAGGGGAGATACCAAATGTGATGGAGAAAGTATGTGTGTTGTACATAACAGAGGAGATCATGTGGAATGAGGTGGAGAAACTTAACTTGTGATTTAGAGATTATATTGTTGGGATTTGACTTTGGGCAACTTTAACTATAAATTAACAAATATTTTTGCTTTTGGAAATACATTCTTATGGGTTGTGTTAAACCTCATTGAAACTGATGGGTATAAGAGCCACCCTTCATTCAGGATACATTTAAGAAACAGTTAAACTCCTTTATGGAACCAGATAGCTGAAACAATAGCAGCCTCCATCCTAAACATAAGCAGATGTCACTGCCTGAAACAAAGGCATTTGTGGGTAGAAGGGTTTTTCAGGTTATTGTTTTGTGTCTGAAAAAGATGCAGAAAAACCAGAGAATGAAAGCAGCAAGGAAGCATTAGACACAGAAGTACTGGTAGTGTGGGCCTGAGGAAAAAAATTAGAAAGACAGAGCTTTTGGACAAAGTTCTGGCCAGAAAGGGGCTTTCAACTGTGAGCAAAGAAACTGTCACTTGTTGCCTGATTGCTGCTATGTACATTCATTGTAAATCAAAAGAATTGCATCAAAAATACCTGGCTCCATCAACAATTTCTCCTCCGAACCAAAGCAACCTGCTGGACACCAAATTTTAGCTAACCACATGGATCAAAAAGGTGTAGTAATCAATACAAAATGTTTTTAGTTAACAAAGTTAAAGTCTATGATGACAAGAGACAGTTCAGCTTATGGCTCAACAAAACCTTTATTGGTTTCCCTAGCTGCAAGCAAAAAGTTCTAGAATAAATATTTTACTCAGGAAATAATAAGCTGAGATTCTTTATCACTCTGCATGTAGGGAATGAAAATTAAGAAGTGGAGTTGACCTCCTTCACAGGGATGAGTGTTTCTGTTTACAGTTTAATTTGCAATACTATGAACATTGTCTGCCACCAAAGGACAAATTTGCATACAATTGCAAAATATATGAATATTGTAAAACAAGTTTAAAATGTGCTTTCTTTCTTACAACCCAGAAATCATCTATCTTATTTACAAGTTTGCAGATGAAAATAAAACAAAAGTGAATGAGCCTGCTTTTATATTCTCCCTCTTATGCGTTAATTTTCATGCAAATGTAATGTATCCCTCCTCCAAAGACCCAGCTGCTATATACAAAGAGTTAGAAACGCTTCCAAAGCCCATTGAAGTCATTGAAAGACTCCCACTGACTTCAAAGGGTTTTGGATCATGTCAGAAATTTCCTTCTTGAAGTTTTAAAGACTGAAATCAACATAAAAACATATTAAGTACAGTAGTTAAGCAGAGCTGATAAAAACAATTTACAAAAGTATATGGTCTTATGACCAACTATTTAGAGAAAAATGGGTTATTAAAATTGACATTTCCAAACTGGACCCTCAGAGTGGTGTTAAACATGGTGACTGTCACTTCTCAGACCAGTAGCTCATTTATTCTATTAGAATAAGATATGAAACATCCTCCATTTCTATCAGGCTACTTCCCTCAGGCCTTCTGAAAATTAACTTGTGTAGCTGAAGGAATCCATTAATGAAAAACTTCTGTGGCATTCTCAAAGTGAAAGTAATTGCTCGTTATTTACACATGTAAGTGAATATTTATGCAAATCAGCTCTAAATTTATCATTTCAACTTGCCATATCTATTTTATGAAGACTATTGTGAAAGTGAGCACTGCAGTGCCAATGCCCCTGCCAGCACCTCCCAGAAGCAGCCTGTTTGCCTCCAAGGACCTCAATTATTAAGATCACAGAAACACTTCAGAATGTTTTCTCAAAGCTAAGGAGACTTCATCTTTTAAAGTTCTATAATCATCAGAATAACCTAGGAAGATACAAATCTCCCAAAACAAAATTGGATCCAGTTTATTGCTTACCTTACCTTAGCATTTATATAGCAAAACAAATATTCAAAGTGCTTCACAGCAGTAACTCCAATCATCAGAATCAACCTTGTAAGGGAAACAGGTAGGTATTATTCTCTGTTTTACAGATATAGAAACCAAGAGAAGGAGATAAAGTGACTTGTCTAAAATCACACACTGTAGTTTGGCTTAGAACTAGTTCTTATCTTGCATGCTGGGACTCTCTCCTCTACACCACACTGTCACATCTTGTTTATCAGCTTCCTACCCACAAAGCTGACATTTAAAAATGTTTATAGCCTTTTTCCATGGAAATGCTGAATCATGAATTTAATGCTATAGAAAACTTTATAGAAATTAACCTCATATGATTTCAAGCGTTCTCCTTTGTTCTGCTTTTGTTGCTGTAGCTCTCCTTTTAGATTTTTTATCTTATATTTGGACCTTGACAGATGCATTCTTCACTTTTCCTTTTGCCTGTAGCCTCCTTCAGCTTTTACACAAGTTGATGTTGGAAAGGCAGTTTCTCTCTCTTTATGTACCACCTGCCCTTAGTATGAGGAAGCCTTGTCTATGCCTACCATGTGTCAGCTCCCTGACTCCACCAGCCACAGGCAACACAAGCACTCCTCTCTTAGCCTACAGAGGATCTGCTGTCTCTCTGCAGATTAGCAATTGGCATGCTCTAGCCCCTGAGCTCTATGAGCATCCCCCTGGAGTGTCCAGCCCAGGTCCACTGGACACTTAGAATTCTCAGAGTCACTGCTTCCAAAGGAACAGTATCCCACCCCCACAGCTTACAAGTTACACCTTAGATCCCAGCTGTGCTTAACAAATAGCACTTAGATATGTTTATAGAGTAAACAAGCAAAAGTTTAATTAACAAAGAGTACAGAGGCAAATATCGCTTAAATCAGCTTCTGTACCTGATGACTGGAGGATAGTTAATGTAACACAGATTTTTTTAAAAAGGGTCCCAAAGGATATCCTGGCAATTACAAGCCACTAAGTCCAACTTCAGTACCTGGCAAATTGGTTGAAACTAAAGTGAAGAACAAAATTATTAGACACATAGATGAACATGATATGTGGGGGAATAGTCAACATGGTTTTTGTAAAGGGAAATCATGTCTCACCAAATTATTAGAATTCTTTGAGGGTGTCAACAAGCATTATGCAAAGGATGATCCAGTTGATATACTGTGCTTGGACTTTCAGAAAGCCTTTGACAAGGCTCTTAAGCAAAATTAACCATCATGAGATAAGAGGGAAAAGAGTAGGAACAAAATCGTCAGTTTTCAAAATAGAGAGAGGCAAATAATGGGGTTCCCTCAAAGATCTGCACTGAGATCAGTGCTGTTCAACATATTCAGAAACAATCTAGAAAAGGGTTACAGAGAGGTTGCAAAGTTTGCTGACAATATTTAATTACTTGAGATAATTAAATTCAAAGCTAACTATGAAGAGTTACAAAGGGATCTCACAAAACTGCGTGACTGGGCAACAAAATGGCAGATGAAATTCAAAGTTGATAAATGCAAAATATTGCACATTGGAAAACATAATCCCAACTATACAGAGGGTCTAAATGAACTGTTACCACTCACCAAAGAGAACTCAGAATCATCATGCACAGTTCTCTGAGAACATCTGCTCAATGTGCAGAAGCAGTCAAAAAAGCAAATAGAATGTTTGGAACCATTAGAAAAGGGATAGAATCAGGGGTCAGCAGCCTTTCAGAAGTGGCGTGCCGAGTCTTCATTTATTCACTCTAATTTAAGGTTTCGCGTGCCAGTCATACATTTTAACATTTTTAGAAGGTCTCTTTCTATAAGTCTATAATATATAACTTATATATAAATAAGGTTTTTAAAATGTTTAAGAAACTTCATTTAAAATTAAATTAAAATGCAGAGCCCCCCGGACCGGTGGCCAGGACCCGGGCAGTGCCACTGAAAATCAACTTGCATACCACCTTCGGCACATGTGCCATAGGTTGCCTACCCCTGGGATAGATGCTAAGAGAGAAAATATCGTAATAGGGCCTGATGAAATACATCCTAGAATACTCAAGGAGCGGACTGAGGAGATATCTGAGCCATTAGCGAGGGAGAAAAATTGTTCCCCTTAACCTCTACAGATAGGACAAGAAGCAATGGGCTTAAATTGCAGCAAGGGCGGTTTGAGTTGGACATTAGGAAAAACTTCCGAGCTGTCCGGGTGGTTAAGCACTGGAATAAATTGCCTAGAGAGGCTGTGGAATTTCTGTCATTGGAGATTTTAAGAGTGGGTTAGACAAACACTTGTCAGGAATGGTCTAGATTCTATAAGATACTTAGTCCTGACTTGAGTGAAGGGGACTGGATTAGATGACCTCTGAATGTCCCTTCCAATCCTACAATTCTATGATTCTATTATGTCAATATAGAACTCCATAGTAAGCTCACACTTTGAATACTGGGTGCAGTTCTGGTCACCCCCATCTCAAAATCATACATTAGAATTGGAAAATGTACAGAGAAGGTCAAGAAAAATGATTAATGGTATGGAACAGTTTCTATGTGCAGAGAGAGATTAAATAGACTGGGTGTATTCATCTTAGAAAAGAGACCACGTGGTTGGCTGGGGTGGGGTGGAGGGGGAATATGCTAGAGGTCTATATAGTTGTGAATGGTGTGGAAAAAGTAAAAAGGAAGTGTTATTTACCCATTCACATAACACAAGAATCAGCAGGAGGGATGGGGTGTTACCAAATGAAATTAATAGGCAGCAGGTTTAAAGCAAACAAAAGGAAGTACTTGTTCACCCAGTACAAAGACAACCTTTGGAACTTTCTTCCAGGGGATGTTGTGAAGGCCAAAATATAACTAGGTTAAAAAAAGTATCAGATATGATCATGGAGGATAGATTCATCAATGTCTATTAGTCAAAATGGTCAGGGAAACAACCCCATGCTCTGGGTGTCCCTAAGCCTCTGACTGCCAGAAGCTGGACCTAGACCACAGGAGAGGGATCATTTGATAATTGCCCTTTTTTGTTCATTCCCTCTGAAGCATCTGGCACTGGCTACTATCAGAAGACAGGATACTGGCTAGAATGACTGTTGGTCTGATTCAGTATGGCCTTTCTTATGTTTTTGGTAGCATTAGAGTCATGTTACATAAGAACAGTCATAATAATAAGGAATGTTACATAATGACATTTACCACAATGGTGACGCTTAAAACCTGTGAAATGACAGGCAAATTGCATATAGAGTGCATACCTGCTATGTAGAGGGGATCCCTGGGTGTTCAAGATTGCCCTTAGCCAGTTCCAGGATCAGGGGGATGTAAAGATGGCCCTGATCTACTTTTGAAGACATACACACTCATTCTCCTTCCTCAGCTGCACCTCATGTTGCTATAGTCCAGCTAAGGATCTGGCCTGTTAATCCCTTATAAAAGCTGGGGGGGGGGGGTAGGTTGGAATGAATCCAGAAACCAAAAAGATAAAAAGTAGTCCAGTTTGCATGCCTTAGTAAAATGTCTAAGTTAGAGGAAGGCGAAGATGTGAGACTGTGAAAGTTTTACCATTTTTGCAATTCTGTAAAGAAGTATAGACCTTGTCCATTTCTACTCTTCTCCCTGCTCCTTCAGCTTTGTCTGTTAGCAGTTACATCTCTATGCTTTCCCATTGTCTCACCATGGCTGTGCATGAGCTTTCTCTTCAGACATTCCTGACATCTGACACAGCCTCTGGATTTCTCTGTGTTGTCATCTCTATCACTTTTCAGCTATCATCTGAGAATATGTCTTTGCTCCCATGGCTGTTTTTTCTCCTACTGCTAGATATAGCTTTAGCTATATCAGTTCTGAATAAAAAATATAATTGGTAGGAAAAATAAGACAAAACTAAGTTACTTTGCACAATCAAATAATAATGGAGAGGCAATGTGATCTTGGAAAGACTGGTATTCTAGTAGGTAGGTCTTGAGATTGGTAGCTCCTCCACTGACCTGCTGGGTGACCTTGTGCAAAGTACTTTACCTCTCCATTCCTCTCTTTCCCCTCCCAGTCTTTGTCTGACTTGTTGATTTAGACTATAAGATCTTTGGAGCAGGTGCTATCTATTACTACGTGCATATACAATGGGACTCCAAACTCAGTTTGGCTTCTAGGCACTACTGTACTATCAATAGTAATAATATCCCTCATCTATCAACACAGTGCAAAATGTAATGATATTGGTCAAAAGTGGATACTTGAACAATTCAGTTTTACAGAAAAACAATGTAAAAAGTGAAGCCAGGAATTTTTTCTGGTTTTAATTACAACAAGGTGCAAAAGCAGACTTTGTGCAGTGGTAAAACTTGGCAGTGGCCCAAGTAACACTTTCTGGGTTTTTTTCCCCACTCTTTCTACTTCTCTGATAGATTTGTTAGTGAAAATTATCAGCAGCAATCATTCTTGCATCTGCCACAATCACAGCAACAGACAATAAATTATTTACATATGTTTCCATTGATATAGTACAGACCCACAGCACAATTTTCTTGTAACCTGGAGAGAATAACTGAAATCTGTGGAGTTGACTGTCACATACCTGGTATAACAGAGTGGAGAATCAGGTTCTAGACATTTAATTGATATTCCACCAGTTTCTGTCTCTATACATCTGTGGTGTTCAGAATTCATCTTGAACTGTTTGTGTCTTTACCTCTCCCGCACCTCCCTGTGGTGTCAGGTATTTCAAAGTTGATCAGACATCTCCAATAAGATTTCTATGATAGGACAGCATCTTATTTCTGTAGTTCCCTGGTTGGAATGAACAGTGGAGTTCCTGTACCGACACCTCATTTGCAGTTAAACCCAATAATTTTAAAGTCAGGTTGGTATATCTGTATAATTGTTAGTGTTCTTGCACAATAGGTACTCCTGTTACTGTAAACAGGTGACAAAATAGAAGGCTATAATTTGCCATAATAAAAGGTTGGGGACTACAGATTTTATCAGTTACTCCCACCTGACCTACTTTGCTATTAAAGAACCCTCTTCAATGCATTCTGTTGAGATAATGTACTAAGTAATAATGACTTCCAAGCAATCATTATCCCCTCAAGTGTCATGTATAGTACACACTCAGGAGTCATGTCAGATCTTTTGTGCATCATTAATTTAAATGGAATGTGAGGATCTCTGATGCACAACCTTTTTGGATACATGTTTTGCAATGTCCAGTGGCACTGAAATGAGTATAAATAAATGTGATAAGGGCTCTTTCACTTTCATGGTGTTATTCTATTGATGTCAACAGAATTCTTGCCCATTGTATCCATAAATTTGTGGCGACAGCTGGACTGGATCCTTTAATCTATTCATCAGAAAGTGAAGGAAACTTTAAACTGAAAAGAGAAAAAAATTATTACAGTTCTTGCCAGGGGCTAGGATCTACCTTCTGACAGAATGAACTATTTTATCTTTTAATTATTTCCCTTAGTGTGATTTAATGTGTAAAAGTCGTGATAATATTACTTTTCATCTGCATTTGCTCTGACCTTTTGCCAGGACACCA